TCCCTTGGTTGATTGAATCTGTGAATGCTGAACCCCACTGATGGGAAGGTCCAGCTATAGTTACCAGCATTTAAAAATTGGAATGTTTCGGCTTTAAAAATTTGTTATTTCCAACTCCTTTTGAAAAGTTGGAGCATCTGGCAACATTTAGCCCACATTCACACATGGCAGCACGATCCGGAGCTGCCGAGCTGCTACGCTCCCTGTGTGGTTGCAATTATCGAACTCCTCCACCCAAATGTGTTAGCCGCCTGTTCCCTCTTCACGCATTTGGATTTATGGCCTCTGGTACAGCAAAGGAATTAATGTTTGAAACCAGCCAGCCAGTCAGAGGTTTGAGCCTCCTTGTGGCTGGAATGGGTTTCCTGGGAGTATTTTACAAGACCCGAGGCCATTCTTCATGTGTCTTTCAAAAGCCGCTAGCTACAGGGATTTGCTAACTACAGGGATTTGCGTATCTCATACTGCAGGAGCCTAGAAACAGAGAACGCCAGTGGAGGAGCAGTTAGTACAAGAGGTGGAACACCGAAAGGCAAAGGTAGAGGCGGGGAAGGTCTGTTTCTTAGAGAAGTTCAAAGAGTGTCCACGACTCCACAAACCGATCAGGAAACTCAGGGCTACTGCCCTGGGAGGCGACTGGGCTACAGGCCCAGCCAAGCAAACGGTGAGAAGATTGGTGGTGCATGGACCTAGCCCAGAGGATTACACACCCTTGTTCAGAAGAGAATGTTCTCTTGCAGCCAACAAGAGGAGGGAAAGCATGCAAGGCCTGAAACTAGCATGGGGATCCCCATCAGTATTGGTCCCAGCTCAGCCATGGGTCTCAGGGCAGGCTTTTGTAACCACTGACGAGGCTTCTGTGCAGAATCAGAGTCCTGCCTGATTTTTCCCTTTGGAGGAAGTGAAGCACGACCAGCAGAGCCAGCAGCAGCCAATGGGAATGGGAAGGAAGGAGCCTGCAGTCAACCCTCTCGCATTACTACCCCTAGAAGCACATAGCGATGTGGGCACCAGAGTACAAAATTTTAAAAAAACCACTTGGAACAAAACCACAACTAGCAGGATTAGCTTCAGTGTTTTTGTTAGGTATGTGCATATGTAACTATGCAGGTAGAAGTTGGGAAGCACTGAAGCATGCATGCCCCAGCCTTCTGGGGCTATGAAACTCATGCCCAGTCTGCCTTCCTTGTAACCTTTGAATGAATGCCTTCCGGGGCTGTCCCTCCTCAGAGTCGGCTAGACCTCTATCCTCATACTGTGGAGAAAGTCAAAAGTCACACCAGCCTGCCCTGAAGTGCTGCAGGCTTCTTTGAGTGAAGGCCTTGACTCCGGACAACGTTGAGTGTTTCATGGTTGGATGGGATTAGACAAGGCTCCGATTCTGATCGGTCATTCTTGGGGTTTTCCCTAAGCTTACACCATTTCTCAGTTTGGTCACTTACATTCCCAGCTAAACCAAAAGACGCTGGCACCTTGATACCAGCTCAGGCATTTTGTTCAATCCTGGTCTGTAACTCCTCAAAAACCACTTTCCCTGCCTCGTTCCCTTTGTCCCACCCCCTTGAAAGGGCCAAACCCTTCACCTGCTCTTGTTTGTCCTCACCTTGACACAGAGTGCACTCTGGGCTCTTAATCCTGGTTTGTTGTTGCTGTTGACAGGACCAGAACTTTGACTTGTCAAGAAGACTGAGTGAAAAGGAGCTTATATATACAACTCTGCAGCGAGACAATGAGACGGTGCAGGGAGAAAATGATGTAAGTGTGTGGACCAGTGGCCCCAGAGTTGACCCCCACTCGAATAGAGTACAGCTGCCCCCACAGGATTTCTAAGGCTGTCATCCTTCACGGAAGCAAACAGGCACATCTTCCTCCCACAGAACCGCTGTCAGGGTCGAACCACCAACCTTGTGGTTAGCAGCTGAGCATTTTAATCACTGTGCCACCATGTTGCAAGGGGAGGAGAGCCCCAAGGTCATAGCAAAAGGAGCACGGTGTGTCAGAAATGTGAGAAAATAAAAAGTTAAATGAAAGGGCTCCTCTCTGGGACAGCTGGTGAAGATAATTGCTCCTAAGCCTTCAATCCGGTTCCCTAATCCACCACCACGCCCTCCCTGTTCTGCAGCTGAAACTTGTTTGCTGCGGCTCTAAGGGAGAAGGGTTTTCTGTTGTAAAAATACAGGTAGTGAAAGGAGCAGTCTTTTAAATTATTTCTTTGTACTAATGGTGAAGGTTTCCATGGCACTTAGATTCTCTCAACAAATTCTACCCAAATTACTCAGTGATAGAATTTGAAGTATTTTAAGTGAAGTCTTTGAAGCATAATATCCCATGTCACTTTTATGTTAGCCAGGGGACTCCTTTCCTTAAGGCCATCTTTCTTTTTCTCTGCTGCCAAACTTGGAATAGAAGTGGTGGTCTATCCCAGTGCTGGAGCCACAGGAGGCCCCTAAGCAGTGCTATGTATACATTTGTCAGTTCATTCATTCCTGTCGTGCTGAATGTTAAGTTATTGTCCTTGGCTTAATTTGAGGATGATGGCAGCAAGTAAAAAATGATTAGACTTGAAATCATCCATCTGCTCTTGCTCAGCATCACAGACTAAGTGCCCATGTGTTCTCGAAACGACTAGAGCTGTACCCCTTGCAGTACTCCACCATCTACCCTCCCCGCAAAACGTGGGCTAGAGATTTTATATGTAAATATATGTGCTTACGGGCTGCAAAAGGCAAAAGGTTTGCAGAAATCTTCAATTTTCATTTCATTCCATTTTCACATCTACTTTTTAAAGCCCCCTTGTATTAGATGAAGGTTTTTGTTCCTTTCATTTATGTTATTATTTTTTTATCATTTTATTGGGGGCTCGTGCAATTCTTATCACAATACATACATCCATTGTGTCAAGCACACATATTTGTTGCCACCATCATTCTGCAAACATTTACTTTCTATTTGAGTCCTTAATATCAGCTCCTCATTTCCCACTCCCTCCCCCCTCCCTCATGAACCCTTCATAATTTATAAGTTATTATTATTTTGTCATATATTACACTGTCCGACGTCTCTTCCCCCCGCCCTCTTCTCTGCTGTCCATCCCCAGGGAGGAGGCTATACGTAGATTCTTGTAATCGGTTCACCCTTTCTACCCCACATTCCCTCCACCCTCCAGGCATCACCACTCTCACCACTGGTCCTGAAGGAGTCATCTGTCCTGGATTCCCTGTGTTTCCAGTTGCTATCTGTACCAGTGTACTAGATGAAGGTTTTAACACTAGTTCTAGGGAGGAGACTGAAAGAGGCAGTGCTCTCAGTAATGTATAACAGTTTCAGTCGTATAACTTTTGTCACCCCCAACTTTATGCCTCAATCATTTTACGCTCCTTTTATTTCAGGTAGTCTCGATCCAGAGACTTTATGTATTAATTTGAACAAAATTCAACAAATATATTTAAATTCAAGTATCAAGAAGTCAGATCTTTGGCATATTGAGGCTGCTGTGTAGAGAGTTATGGGTGACCATTTATGAAGGTTTCTCCAATGCTGCATTGAGAACTACCTGTAATGAGCATCCCCTGGCCAGTTCCTGGTGATCGATCACTCTTTGTTCCTGTCTTTAACCTATCTCTGTCAATGTTCTGTCCGTAGCTTTTGAAGAGGGAGAACAGCAGACTGCTGAGTTACATGGGCCTAGATTATGACAACTTGCATTATCAAGTTTCTGCTTCAGCTGAAGGAGGTGCACAGCAAAAGCAAGTGCTGGTATATGGAAACCCGTATTGTGGTAAGATCATTTTGTCCTGCTCTTGCTACAACGCCCCTGTCTGCATGCCTTCCCTCACTCAATTTTTCCTTTTTTTTTTTTTTGAGGCTGAGATGCTAATTAAGACCAGTTTCATTGTTAAGACTTGCTGGGCAGAAACTGAGGACGAGAACCCAACCGAAAGATTGCCAGGCAGGAAGTGTTAATTGAGAAATAAATCTGAATTTAGAACACGCAAATCAGATCATTCACCCAGAGGCGGCAGACACAAATTGAGTCCCGCGGCTATATTCCAAATGTATAAATCAGAGAAATGCCTGTCTGTAGAAGATGTACACATACAAAGCCCAGCGAGCTAATGAGGGTTTGGAAATGGAAGCAGTAGGGGTGGGTGATTCCACCCAGGCCCCGGCAGTTATGGCGGCCACCCGAGGGGTCCTGACCTAGGGCAGTACGAGTGAGCTCCGGAGAGACTTGTGGGTTGGAGGACAGGAAACGGGGAGAGGAGAATACTCGTGTCACTCAAGGACATGGCACATGATCTGTTTGCCAAACGGGGAGCTCTTCTTGCTGCTCGCCAAAAACAATGTGAGACCTTGATGTACCTTTTTGAACAGTTTAAGGGCATCATTTTCTCTTAGGAGTCAACCACATCTTTGTAGGGGACAAAACATTTTTTTCTTTTAACAATATTGAGCATTTTACTTGAGAATTGTTTGCTGCATGTATGTAGTCTTAAAGTCTAGTCAGTGCCCTTATTAGATTGTTATTGTTCTAATGAAAACTTTACTCATTTTTCTACTCTGAAAGTAGGTGTATTTTTTTCCGATTGTATAATAGGAACATGACTATAGAAAATGCCATTTCATTTTTCCCCTTTTTGTTCTCTTTATCATCTATTTTCTGTAACTGGCAAAAAATATATATACGAGAGGCAGCAAACCAGGCAATGGGGAGAAAGGAAGCCAGGGGTGTGTGTGCAGAAATCTCCCACTATAACCTAATGGACAGTTAGCGACTTGAAGATTTTTTTTTTCCTTCTTCATTGACTGAAATCTTTTTGATTCTCCTAAGGTATTCAAGAAAGTTCTTCCCCCAGCCTGGTAAGTATTTGCCTTATGCCCCCATCAAATAACTGACTCTTCTAGTTCATGGGCAAACTGTAGGGAGACTGGCTGGTGTATTTTGATACTGTCAGAGGTCAGTTTAGTGCCAGCGTGACGAGGGGGGAGAAGCGAGCGCAGTCCACCCATCAGCAGGCTGCACACGGTCCTCCGGCTGCGAGGGGAGACGTATGAACAAAAGGTCTGCTCTAGGCCCCTTCGAAGTTGGCAGCCATTTTGATGGCTTTAGCAGTATCAAGCCTAGGGGGGTTAAGAATGCCCTATCAACTATCTCTAAGTCGGAATTCATGAGCACCTCCCATGTGCCAGTCAGTAGGCCAGGTGCTGAAGATACAGTAGGAAACAAGGTAGACCTGGTCTCTGCCACACGCAGCATTCATTCTGCTGATGTGCTCTCTCTGCTCGCTCTCCCAGGCCTCCATCAGGAAGTGCCCCAGCTGCACCATGGACTTCGAGGAGGAGCACACCTTAGCACAGCATGTGCAGGCCCATTATTTGGATTGTCCGATTTGTGCTAAGAGCTTTCCAAGAAGCCAGAAGCAGATCTTTGAGGACCATGTGCTCTGCCACTCTCTCTAAGTGCCATAGCCGCTTTGATCTACACTGTAGATAGATTCCATAGAACAGAACCAATCGCTTCTTTCGACTATGAGTTATGATTCAAGATCCTGCCTCACCTGAAACTATTAGGGATGTATTCAGCCCTGCTGTCCCTAGAACTGGAGACGTACCGATTATCTGAAGACATACTGATTAGCTGTTATTATTCCATCTTTTAAGTGAAAGACCTCTAGGTGTGTCAGCCTCTCCCCTGTGGTACCCACTCTTTGCGGGTCTCCAGCCCAGGATGGACTGGACCTGGCTGCTCACTACAGGCCTGACATTGAGCGATTAGTTCTCAAAGCTTGTGTCACTGCCATTCAAGGTTAGATTCAGCCCTCAGTCCTAACTCGGCTAGAGAATAAGCAGGTTTTTATCTGCATAAGCACATTAGACTAGCCAAAAATGGCCCAGCAGGGAATGACATCTAATTTGACTAGCAAAGGTTTCACAGCTGAATTTCTCAGTTCCCAGCAGAAGCATCTTACTCCTGAGCCATGGACAGGAAGTGATAGTCCCCACAGAAAGCCTCCCTTCTCTCTGGTCACCTGGTTGCAGTTTTGTACTCCGATCTTTCCTGTGCACATGTTTTTATTTAAGTCCTTGTTTGTGACTGTTGGAAATTGGGAGTGAAACTTCCTGAGGAGGTCAGTTTGAGCATGGATTGTCGGTATGGATGAGTTAATAATGTGACAAAACATTGCTAATCACTTTAATACAAAATAATAAGCGAGTCCTCTATGTTAAGGACTGGAGTATTTTTAAGTCTTGAATTCATGGGAAAAGTGTGATTAAAGGTGTTTGAAGAAAAGCAGATCTACCAATGATTTATTTTACTCACCGTAACTTTTTAGCAAAAGTAAGCCGGCAGTTATCTTGAGGTCAGGTGGAAGTGGTGGGAATTTGAGAGAGCTGGGGTCCTGATGGCTTGCTTTAACTAGCCCTGCTTTACAGGGGGCCTTGTAGACTTGCACACCCTTTATAAACTGAGTTCAGTGCCCTCATCCAAAATTGCCTAACTGAGCTATGCAAAAGCAATTCCCTTTTCTCCCTCAACCAAGGACGGAGCAAATGGCTCTCAGACAGTCAAGTAGCTGGTCACTTATGAGACTGGGACTAGAACCTACAGTGATCGCGAACATACTTTCATGAATAGGCTGGGTCACATATATCTGTGCGTGCCGTCTGAGGTTGCCCTTGCTTCCCTGCATTGTCCTAGTCCCAGCTCCTTGCCTTTGTTTCAGCATAAACTGAAGATGCAGCCACACCGCTGTCCTGAGTCACCACTTCAGTACACTGTCTCTTGGCCCTCTTAGGAATCCAGTGTGGCATAAAGACAGACTGGAAGAGAAATAAGGTGGGTAGGCAGAGATGCAGGAGTTTCTGGCTGATCCCACTTCCTCCCAAATTTCTCTTGCTTTGTGGCTAGACCAGTTTCTTTTATTGTGTATTGGTCATCTTTTCAGTAAACAACAGTAGGGAGATGGCAATGCTGTACACCAGGCAAATTGGTGAATACTTTTTTCTGGTGGACTGTCCACCTTTGTCCTTGCTAAGGAGTCCTGGTGGTGCCTGGTAAAAGTGTCTGTCTGCTGACTGAATCCACAGTCTGCTCCATGGGAGAAATATGTAGCATTCTGCTCCTGTAAAGACTTACCAGCCCAAAAATGTTTTGAAGAGGATGATGGCAACATATGTACAAATGTGCTTGACATAATGGATCTATCTATGGATTGTGATAAGAGCTGTAAAAGCCCCCAATAAAATGATTCTTAAAAAGACTGACAGCCTGTGGGACAGTTGGGCTCTGTCATTACCGGGTCACTGGTAAGTTGGAAAGTCTCAACAGTAGTGGCTTTGGCACGGGTTTGCCCTTGCTCCCCTGAGGGTGGCTGCGATTATCAACAGTAGCAGGAGTGCTTCTGAAGGTATCACGGCAACAGTTCAGGTGTTAATGAGCCTTCTTGCCAGTTGTAAAGCTAAGCATCTTTAGCTTCTGTTCGTTATCCTCAGCTGCTATTACTAAGGCTTTGAAGAGGGATGTTAGGTTCCAGGCAGCTACTAGTAGTAAGCAATTACTTATATATTTTTTGCAATTTTAAATCAATTTTATTGAATAATTTCTGCAGCCACGATAACTAGTATGCAATTTGTCAGCACTTAAAGGCAGTTATTTTATAATCCACTGCCTGCCCTAGCCGTCTATGCCTCTGGCACTCAACCGTTTTCATAGTTGTAAAAGACTTGCAGATATTAGAAGGAAGTTATGGGAATTGGGCTTCTTAGAGCAACAGGTTTTCCTTTCTATTTTATTTTTAGGTCTGATATTTAAAACTTTTTGCATTACTTGAGCCCCCTTGGTAACCAGTGGAAAGTTAGCCAGGCGTAAGGAAATGCTAACCTAAAATCAGAAAAGATATTCACCAAACCAGGGCTGCTCTAGCTTTAGTGCTTTCCCCTGTTGCTCAATCAGGGATGATCTGTGACAATGCCCAAATACCATACTCCTGTGAATTTAGTGCTTTTTTACAATGGAAATCGATTATTGCAGTGAGCATACTCTAAAACTGGTCTCCTAGTAACAGATGTTGGTAAGATGCTAGACCAGGGCTAAAAGGTGCAGTCAGTTACCTTTGAAAGCAACAAAATATACTCTACTTAGATATCAAACCCAAAGAAGTACTTAGCTACTCCACTAAGTTAACCAGCAATAGGCCATAAGGTCCAGGAAGATTACCCACCCTAGTGCTCTCCTGACTTGATCACATATGAATATTAATGCCTTTGCTCCATAGTTTAGAATGTCTTAGATATACCATGTGTGCCTTTGGTAACCCTCTGAAACACGACAGCTCAGAACTCTTATTTTAATATATAGATGAGCAAATTGAGACTTAAATAGGTTTTGTCAAGTAAAAATAACACAAATGTTCATCGGCTGAGAATGGATGAATAAAACACAGTAAAGTGAAGCAAATCAGTCAGAGAAGACCACGTTTGTTGTATGATTTCATGATATGAAATGTCCAAAATAGGAAAATCTATAGAAACAATTAATGGGTGTCTTAGGGCTGAGATAAAATGAGTACGTAACTGCTAATGAGTTTGGGATTTTCTTTTTGGGGCGATGAAAAAATTTTAAATTGTGCTAGTGGTTGCTCAACTCTTAATCTACTCAAAACCAGGGAATGTTTTTGGGTGGTGGTGGGTACATCTGAACAAGACCCTACTGGTCCTGCAGGAACAAGTGACCAAAAATCGATGGCAAGGAGGGTGTAGGCCTGGTAGAGCTTGATCAAGGGCAGTGTAACCAAGAGGAATTACTGAAACCCAAATGAAGGCTGAACATGATAGTGGGATAAGAGGAAAGTAAAAGAACTAGGAGGCAAAGGGCATTTAGAGAGATCTAAGTACAGGCATGTACATGGTGTAAATATATATATGATGATGGGGAAATAGCTCTATGTACATATATTTATAGATTTAGTATTAAGGATACAGATGGACATTGGGCCTCTACTCAAGTACTCCCTCAACACAAGAACACTTTGTTCTAATCATCCGACACTCTGAGATGCTCACCTTCCCGACACTATCGCTGAAGACAAAGAGGGTGCTTCAGCAAATGTGAAGAAAGCTGATGGTGCCCAGCTATCAAAAGATTTAGCGTCTGGAGTCTTAAAGGCTTGAAATTTTTTTTAAAAGCTTGAAGGTAAACAA